TTTTAGACCAAATATTACAGATTTGAACAAATACGCACAAAAACATCAAAATTAGCACAGAAAAAGTACTATATAACGTTTTAGACACATTCTAGACAGTTTATCAGCTAAAAAAGTTAATTTTGGGGTAAGTTACTCTTTAAAAAGTTCAACAATGTAGTCAGTTTAATTGCAGTTTTTTTCCCTGACAATTAAAATGTGATGTTATTTAAACATTTTTTTACATTGTCTTTTCTCTGTCGATTTATTTGCAACTTATTACCATAATTAGTGAGTTTTATTGTCAGTTTATTTACAACTCATTTCCATCAAAGTGCAACATACGTTTTTATTGAAAATAGTCTCAAAAATCGGTGTAATTCYGATACAACTTTGTACAAAGTGGAGGTTTTCTTACCTTTTTATGTTTTTCTTGAACTCATCTGGAACATTTGGTGAAATTTCAGTGTTTTYAATGAAGACACGTCCGTTTTTATYTTCTAATGAACTTTGTTGCTGTAGTTTCCATCCATCAGTTCACATACAGTATGTTCATTTCCATTTAATGGTGCCCATAGCTGTAGAGATGAACTCCACACTTACTTTCTTCACAAAAAGTCAGGACCACCAGAATCAGCAGAACCACAGCACTGACCCAGCTCATCTTCCTGTTGTCTTCCTTGTTGTGACTCAGAACTTAACAGAAAACTGTTGCGTGTCTTTTTTGAAGTTTGTATGTTGGAAGACGTCTAAACGGAGCCGAATGTTTAAAACGGCTCGTAAACAACAACACGTCTGAGTGAATCAAATGACTTCTGTAAACTTAGCTGCTCAGCTGAACAGAAAGTCTTTTCTGAAACACGTATAAAATGACATCTTAATACCTTTCTTTACAAGACGTCAGTTGCTGGAGGCAGATGGTAAAGAAATGTAAAATCTGTTCATTTTGAAGTTTTTACAGGCAGTATGCACACTTATAACTCTTTTCCTCAACATATCTTCTATCTTATGAAACAAACTCCACGAAGTCAGAGATGTTATCACACTCATATAGTTTCCCCTCGTATGCAAAGACAGGTTGATACATGCTGTGCTGCATGCTGGTTTGAACTGTTTTGTCGTGGTCTGTTTTTTTTTTTTTTTTTTTGTGCTTTAATTTTCTAGTGTTTCTCTGTTCCCCTGTGTATCTCTCCCCTGCTGTCTTGCCTCCAGCCCTGCCCACGCTCACCTTTTTCCTCGTGTCTCCCCAGGTGTTTCTCATTGTCTCTTAATTTGTTTGCTTTATATTCTGAGTCTTGTCAGTGTTTTGTCGGTTCATTGTGCTGTATCCCCTCAAGCCTGTGTGGTTGTCTTCCTGTTCCTCCTGAGACAAGTCTGTTGTAAGTTTTGCTCGACAGCCCTCTTTTTTGTTCTTCAATAAACTTTTTGTTACATTTTGGATTTTTGCCTGCGCCCTGGGTTTATCTGCCTGCAACCCTGTCAGTTTCAAGTTGGATACTTGAGGAAAAATAACAGCTAAAAGTTCAGTAAGAACATAAAGCTGAGGAATAACAACACTGTTGTGTCTGGTGTGTGTCTGATTTATAGTGATGGGCAAATGAAGCTTTTCTGAAGCACTGAAGCTTGCTTTGAAAAAGGGTTCATTATTCGAAGCCTTCCAACACAGTTCTCCTTGGCGCCAYCCTGTGGCCAAAAGTATGAAAAACTGCTTGAAACAACACAAAGTGAAGAGCTTCATCGTTGATGGAGATGACAGCTTTTTAATGAGATATTTCTGTTTGATATCAGGCTGTCATTGTGTTGCTTGACCAGATTTTATTTACTTATTTCTTTTTTGTGGGTGGGAATAAAGTTACTGTTGTTAATGGTTTATTATAAATAATAAATAAATCAAATAAAGTGTGCCTGTGTATTTTATAC